TGGAGCCATTCCAAGCCCAAGTGGGATCGTTCTACATGGTCCTGGGAGAGGCTGAACACAGGGAAGGTAAATGCTCCACAAACTGGTGCCCTTTGCTACTCTTCATGGTACATCAGCTCTTTTGGGGCTCCCTGAGTCACCGAGGGCAGCCTGGGTCAAGGCTCCTCTCATGCAGCTCCTCCAGTCACATGAGTGTAATTCAAGGTACTGCTGACCATGAGAAGAGCTACCCTTATCTTGGTGAAAATCTGGTCCTCTGGCACAGATTTTTTTAGAAAAAAGAAGCATTTCAGCAGCATTGCTGGGCTTCTGAAACCTGTGCTAAAAAGCCTTCTGGCATCACTGCCAGCCACCACACCAACTGACTTCGCCCCAAACGTGGCAGATTGCAGCAATACCTCATTGCAAGTGGCTGGGTTGGTCTTTGCCATCTTTGAAAGGCTCTAATTATTATCCCTGCCCTCAGACATGTGAGGAATGCGGCAGGCTGTGTCATACAGGGCGCCCTGTTGTCCTTTCCTGGGGTGCCTCATGTTCCAGCTGCTTGGTGCTTTGCGTGGGGAGTTTATCTGAGCTGGGCCATGGGATGGTGAAGCGAATTCTTTGTTATCTTGGCCACACCTGATAAAAAGTGTTTGCATTCATGCCATAGAAGTCCTCAGCAGCATGTGGAAAACCACACCTCACGTGAGCTCTAGAGAGTGACCTGCTAAGCCACTGCTGCAAAATTCCGTTAGAAAATTGTTATTTTGGTCATCCCAGCCTAGGAGGGAGTTGGCCCCATTTTGCAGGGGTGGCTGTGTCACCAAGGCTATGCCACCAAGGTTTGGCCCCTTCTGTGCAGCTCCATGTTGCCACTTGAATGCCACCAATGAACTGCTGGTTGTAGCCAGCTTTGAGCCTCTTCTAAGCCCTCTTGTCTGCACAGGGGCATTCAGAAATGAGCCCAGACCCATCACTGCTGCTTTTCAGAGAAACCAAAGTGCATCTAGCCAGAAAGTAGACAGATGCTACATGGCAGGCACTGGCACTGTTCCCTGGTCCAAGGGGAGTGCAGTGTCAGTCACCAGCATTTTGTAGCCATCAGGGCAGAGCAAAACACGTCACTGAATCAAGCTCACATCAGTGACATCACTCACATCATGGCAGCATGCAGCCAGTCTGGTCTCCTGAAGTTCTCAGGCTATGGTTATTTGCCTAGCTCAAGTCATATGTTGCCTGAGGGAGCTTTCTGTCTCCAAGCTGCTGTGTCTGTTTTCTTTTCTCCAGAAACTTCCAGTCCTGTAGTAAAAGCACGAATATTGACCTGCGTGGAAGGGATGAACGTGCCCTTGCTGGAACAAGCCATACAGGAGCAGAGGAAATACTTCAATGAGAGGCAGGAGCAGAGGGGAAACGGCACATCCTGATAGCAGCTCTGAGGCCAGCCACACGCTGCTCCTTGCACTAGGATTTGCAACAAATATGTTAAAAGTAAATTAGGAGGTGTGTTCGCTGTGGTAAACAGCAAAGTCACTGAGCAGGGAAACACTTGAAGACTGTGAATCAGTGTGTGACTGTGGGCTGTCCATTCCTGCCCTAGGTGTCATGACTGAAAATAGCTCTGGGAAGCAGGTTTGTTGTTTGTTTGAAAGGGTGGTTAAGGAAAGGGAACATTTGGGTTATACTGGTCCTTTTGTAGTGCACAACATGAAGTCAGAAGTGTCTAAATCTGGAGTTAAGCAGTTCACCTTTGGCAGATGGGGGAAAAGGGCATTAGCACAAAGTTCATTAGCCCTGCCTGGATGCAGGCCCATGAGTTCCTGTGTTGGGGTACCCTGACTCAGCTGCCACACAGGAACATTCCTGGCAAAACACTCACATATCTGGGCTGACCAAAGAAACAAGAACAAAGAGTCCCTATTTCCAGTGGCACCTGCCTCTTCAGGTAGGAAGAACTGGTATCTAAGGGGAGGATTAGTTCTAACTCTAAAATAAATATTTGCAGTACTCTGAGTACTTGACTTTCTTCCTTGATGCAACTAAGTTTAAGAGATCTTAAATCACTATTTTGGACGTATCTAAAGATTTTGATTTAAATTTTCCTAAATAAAGACAAAAAAAGAAGGCAGCATGTTTTTCATTGATTAAATCCCTCCTTGCTAAGTCAAATGTGTTAGGTCCTGCACAAACCCTATAGATGATGTAAGAAAATTCAGTTTTCCTCCTTCTCCTAAGTACTGGGTTTGTATGGAAATGTCTGGCTTTAAAAAAGTTGCGAGAAAAGGAGATGAAGTTACATCAGAGCCACTCTGACGAACGTGGTGCCAGGCCTACACAGCTGTATTAAACCATTGGCAAAAGAACAGAACATTGCTAATGTCAGATGAGAATCAAATGTTTGTGCAAGGGAGAGAAGACTCTCCTATACTGTAGAAATCCCCAAATCTGGAGTGAGCTGTGCCTGTGGTTTGCAGGGGAATGCAGCCATCTCCAGCCTTTTCTGCTTGCGCTCAAAAGATTTGAGCTGCTGCCTCAGCAATGGTTAAATAACCCTTTTTTAGGTCACTGTCTTGGTTTAGGGTAGATTTGGGAGAAAACTTTTGAATGGGGTCTCTCTAGAAAACAAATTCAAGCAGCCTCTCCCCTAATTGGTTTGGGAAACTTTTTTATGGAGAAAGGTGGAAAAAACTATTTAATAAGAAAAATATCTACAAGTATAAAAAAAAAAAAGAATAATATTAATTAATGAAACTTTTCAGTGATATCACTCTGGATATCTCAGCCCTCACTCTAGAGAAGCTGTGGACCATATAGAAGAAGCTTATCAGATTAAATACTAGGAAGGTATTCCCCTAAAAGCTCAGGGGAAGCTGAACATTTCCAAAAAGTGATGTAATACTACTAAAGGAGAAGAAGGAAAGGGTGAAAAGTCTCATCTCCTGCTCCTCCTCTATCAAATTGGGTGCAATTACTAATAAACCCCCAAAACATGTTACTGGGACTGGGACACAGGGTAGGGCAAAGAAACTATAAACCAAACATACTTGGCACAAACTCCAGTACTTTTATAAACTTCCTATAAATTATTATCACCAAGCCCAGCACAACAGCTATTCTAATCTGTGCCCCTTTACTGTAAAAGCTATGTAGGGACATATATGTTAGGGACAATATTGGAGCTATCTCTGGATAAGAAAATAAGCCTAGGGACTAGAAAGGTATTTAAACCTCAAAAAAAGTCTTGGAATTAGAACAACATGAAGGCCTCCACCCTGAGAGACATTATGAATTTAAGCAACGTGGCTACTGACTGCTTTATCCTAATGTAGAGTAAGTACAACCAAAATGTAATCAGTGCAGGTTTTTCCACTTTCTCAAGCCACACATTGGGTGCCAATAAATGTATTTGTCCTGGTTTAGGGCAAATTTGGGAGAAAACCTCTGAATGGGTTCCCTCTAGGAAAGAAATTCAAGTGGCCCCTCCCCTAACTGGTTCAGGAAAAATTTATTTGGAGAAAAGTGGAAAAAGCTGTTTATTTAACAAGCAAAGTACCTACAAGCATAAAAAAAATAAAAATAATAATATTAAATAATGAAACTTCTCGCTGTTCAAAGAGATGGCAAATCCATCTCTTTGAAGAAAAGTTCCTTTTGTGGGGTGTAGCTTGGCTTGCTCAGTCTCTTATCAGTCCCTCCGGTACTGGAAGGTGCTGAGGGCCAGGCCCTGGTGGGCTATAGGAGTGAGCTCCTGGGGTTTTCCTCAGTTTTCAGTCTAGAGCAGGTTTGAACAGATCCAAGAAAAAAAGGAAAAACACAGTTTGGGGAACTTCTCTGCCTCAGCTAGCTAAAAACTACCTAAAAACAAAGGAGAGCTCTGTCCTGCTGTCTGTGCTGCAGACAACACAGTCCGGAGAAGCATGTGGGGGAGTGAGTGCTGTTTCTGAAAACAAACTGCGGCTTTTTCTTTCCCCCTTTTCGCTCTCAAAGCCAGTCTTAAAGATGCAGAACTTAACATCCAACATAAACAGAACAGACAATTAGATATCGTAAATCATAAAGTCACCCCAGGACAGTGACCTAAAAGTTGGAGTCTTGCGGACCCATGCAGCTGCAATGTCCATGCCCATCCAGAGACATGGAGCCCCCAAGTCCTCCAGATGAAATTCCCTTTGCCTCTGCCTTTCCTGGTGCCACAATACATAAGATTATTTTAATCTTGTCTTCTGTCAGCTATCAAGTCAATGATTAACCTTGTCCCCCTCAAGGACATCTCCTGAAGGGCTGACCTAGCAGCATAGCCCATGTTGGGGAGGTTCAAGGGACAATTGTGCAAGACAAAATAAAAGGAGAAAAAAAAAACAACCCAAAAGACAAATAAAACCAAAACCAACCAAAAAAAAAACCCCCACAAAACCCAAAACCACCTCAACAACCACAACAAAACCAAAGCCAAAAAAACCAACCCCCCCCCCAGAAAAACCAAAACAACCAAAAAACCAATAAAAAAGATGTCTTCTGGGTGTTTGCCCTCAGCATGTCCCAGGGAGCCATAATTATGAACCAAATTACTCCACTGATGCCCAGCACTGTGCAGATGGAGAGGGAGAGCTTCCCCTGGCCCTGTGCAGTTCATGCTGCTCTTCCCCAGGCCCCAAAGTGCCTCTTTACATCAATTTTCCTCAATTTTTGTCTGTAGCCAGCAGACTGCACAACCTGGGCAGCAGAACAACCAGCCCTGGGTGGCTTCTGTGTGGCTCTGTCCACCTGAAGCTCCCCAGACACCCCAGGCCCCACCAGGCCTCCCTGTCCACTCACAGCTGCCCCAGGCGGGTCCCTGAGGGGTCCCTCAAGGCTGAGGGAGCAGCAAGGTGGGACCCAGACCCCGGCAGAGCCTCAGGGAACACTTGGGGGGCTCAAATGCTTTCCCCACATTCACCTTTTTGTTTCCCGCCTTTTTTTCTCCCCTCAGAGCGCGGTGCCAGCCGCCCCCACTGCCATTGCCAGGCTGAGGCAGCCCCATGGAGGCCATCCAGGAGTCGTTCCAGAAGGTGGAGAAGATTGGGGAGGGCACCTATGGCGTGGTGTACAAGGCTCGCAACAAGCGCACGGGGCAGCTGGTGGCCCTCAAGAAGATCCGCCTGGACGCGTGAGTGGGGCAAAGCCCTGGTCCGGCCATGGCGCCAGGCCTATGCCCAGTATGGTGCTAGAGGCACAAAAAATCCTTATATGAGGGGGAAAAAGGTGTCTCTAGGATTAAAATAATCTTAGGTATTGTGGCACCAGGAAAGGCAGAGCCAAAGGGAATGTTGTCTGGAGAGCTTGGGGGCTCCATGTCTCATGGGCATGGCAGGAAGACTCCACAGGGAAGACTCCAACTTCCAGGTGGCCTAAGAATGGGCTGATTTAACCCATTGCTGAGCCAGAAGTTCAAGATCTTTGAGTGCAAGTGTTTAGGGCCTGACCCAGCACCACTTGGCCCCAGGTCCATGGCACAGGGCAGGGGGAAGCAGCGGCTATGTTGTGAGGTGGTGTCTCCCTCAGAGCTGTGCTGTGGGTGTTGGGCAGGGTCACCCTCAGCCCTCCAGGGTGGGACTGAGCAGGTAAAAGCTTATTGTTGTTCCCCTGGGTGGAGCCTGAGCTGTGTGCACAGTGAGGGGTATCTGTGTGGACTGGGAGCCAATATGCTGGGGCTGCACCCCATGGTGGCCCCTCAGGGTGGGGGAGGTAGCTGCCTGAGGGGAAAAGAGCTTTAATTTTCCCCCACCTCCAAAAAGAAAGACCTAGATATTTAATATATAATTGGTCCTCTAAATGTACCCTTAGGTGCTTCCAAACAAGCTCTGCCCAAAGGCTTGTATGTCTAGGTCATCCTCTCCTTGCCCACAACTCCATTTCCCCCTGCCTCACCCCAGCCCACCCCAGCCACTGCTCCACCCCAAACTCAAATGCTCCTTTGGTACAGTGGAAGAAGGAAGGGACTCAGAACCCCATTGGGCTGTGGGATCCCCCTGGGTTATGGAGTGCACTACAGCCTGTCTCTGCCACAGGGAGTCAGAGGGTGTCCCCAGCACTGCAATCCGAGAAATCTCACTGCTGAAGGAGCTGAAGCACCCTAACATAGTCAGGTAAGACCTGGATGCACCCTCCCCACCAGCTCATCCATGAGCTCCTGCTCCAGGAGCAGGCAGCAAGGGGTTTTTCTTTCCTCCCCCAACTGCACAGGCAGAAGCAAAATAAATGCAGGAATCCCATGCACTTCTCTCACTTTCAGCAATACCTCATGGGTCTGCCACTTCAGCAACACACTGCTGCTCCTGCCCCATATTAGATTCTGCCCTTAAGCTGCCCCTCTCTTCTCCAGAAGGCCAACAGAGCATAGGCATGTGTGGGAGGAGGGATGTTTGGGTATTTACAGAGGTCTGGAGCAGATACTGAAGGGAGAGCCTGTACTTCTTTTACAGGCTCCTAGATGTCATACACAGCCAGAAGAAGCTCTATATAGTGTTTGAGTATCTGAATCAGGACCTCAAGAAGTACATGGACTCATGCCAAGCTGGAGAGCTTCCTTTAAGCTTGGTCAAGGTACAGTGTGGAAGGAATGCTAACAGGCAGGGCAGACAATATATCTATCCATGTTGCCTTCTGCTGGGCAGAGCCATCTCAGAGTTGCTCAGACTGGGCCTGGAAATGATTTCTCAGCCTCCCAGATCTCAAACATTTCAGCTGGGAAACCCTCTTGGCACTATTGCTCAGAAATGTTTCTCAGCTGTTTCTGGGCTCTCCAGCCCATCTTGATGCAGAACAAAAGAGAGATCTGTTGCTAATTGCCTCTGTAGACAGTAATGCGTGGGTGGAAGGGACTGACAGTGCCTGGATTAGAGTTTCTCTGTCCCCATGTGGCATGGCAGCAGTTTGTGTGTATCTCTGAGTAGCGGCCCATAAGCCTGATGTTGCACTCTAACAAGGGCTTTCTTCCCATTCAGATCTCTAAGTGATCCAAAGTGTGTTGGTTCACACAATCCAGACTTCAAAGTGTTTTCATCATGGCTTTATCTGAAATCTCTTCTCTCCTTAGAACTACCTTTTCCAGATGCTGCAGGGTGTGAGCTTCTGCCACTCGCACAGGGTCATCCACAGGGACTTGAAGCCACAGAACTTGCTCATTAATGAAGCAGGAGCAATCAAGCTGGCTGATTTTGGACTGGCAAGAGCTTTTGGGGTCCCCCTACGCACATACACTCATGAGGTAGTGTCAAGGCTCCCTGAGTGGGGTACACAATCCAGAGTGGGTGAACAGCAGCAGCACAAGTTGCTCGTCCATAATAGAGGTGCAGCCATGCCGGGAATGAGCTCTTAAGCTCACCTGAATCTAAGGGACTCCCCACAAGGGGTGCTGACTGACTCTACCAGAGCCTGGCTGCCAGCTGGGCTCCCACCTTCTCTCCACAACCCTGTGTAGAGTCTGGAACATTTAATAGTTCCAGAGTGTGTTGTTGAAAAATGTTCTGTTAATCCCAACCTTGCAGGCACTAAAGTGTCTGTAAATTCAGCAAGGCCTTAGCATGCTCTGATTTGTACAGTCACCACATTACAACTGAGAAGGGAGGGTCCCATGCCTTTGGTTTCATCCAGGGAAACCAAACACAGCCCGTTTGCTGGTTCCTTTCCAGGTGGTGACTCTGTGGTACCGAGCCCCCGAGATACTGCTGGGATGCAGATACTACTCAACCCCTGTGGATATCTGGAGCATTGGCTGCATCTTTGCAGAAATGGTAGGATGGGTTTAATATCTTTCATGAGCCAGAGGAGGCAGCTGCAGTGGGAAGGAGGGATGAGATACAGAACATCTGGGATACCGTGTTCCCACCCTGTCCTGGGGTGTGCTTTATGGAAAGTCCACCCTAAGGGTTAACTGGTCCTTACCTCTGCAGGAAATCTACCACCCTGGGGGCAGAAGGCTTCAGGTTCTAAGTACATTGGAACATGTCTCTCCTTACAAAAGGGGTAACTTCAGCCTTATTGCTGCAGCATTTTGACCCTGGGAGGAGATGACCCCATGGTGAGCTGCAGAGAATAAGCACTCCTGTGGCATGGCTATGGATCTCCTGGAGGTCCATATGCCCCTTGGAAGAGCTCTGGTTAGCTCTGCAGTATAATAGCACTTTGCCTTATTCCCAAGTCACTGGGCTGCAGAGCAGGTAGGAGTGAGCTAGCCAAGAGTGGGAACAAGCAGTCTCCTGTGATGTTCCCAACCACTGCCTGGCAGAATCACTGCGTTGTAACTGCCCTGGTCTGTGCAGCTGTTTGCATCTGCTGGGATAGAAGGTTGCTTGCAGCATGAAATAGGGAACACAAGTGATGGAAAGGTGGGAACTGGCTTTTTCTTTTCTTCCCCCAGATGACCAGGAAGGCCCTGTTTCCAGGGGACTCTGAGATCGACCAGCTCTTCCAGATCTTTCGCACCCTGGGCACTCCCACTGAGGTGACCTGGCCTGGTGTGACCCAGCTCCCTGACTACAAGGGCAGCTTTCCCCAGTGGCCAAGGAAGGAGATGAAGGACATTGTTCCAAATTTAGATCGAGATGGGAGAGACTTACTGACAGTGAGTGAGGGCTTAGAGCAGGGCCTGGGCATAGACAGGATGTTTTCAAATTGGGCAAGGAATAGGGATATTTGAGATTTAATTATCTGGAAGTGTGTTAGCTGATCTAGGTTGAATGCTCACCTCTGACATTGCAGAAGCACCAAATCATGGAATACGTCCTGCTCTGAAGGACTGTCATTGCAGGTTCCTCTAGGAGCCACTGCATTGGGAGTTAAGGAACTCTTCTAACATAATCCCCAAAGTAAATAAAGTTGTGGGTGACTCCTGAAGCCCAGAGAAGGAAAATTCAGGACCAACATCTGCAACTGGGCCCAGCTGTGTGCAGGTGCAATTAATCACCCAGTTTTTAAAATCCTAAATCTGTTGGGTTTTTCTCTTGGCAGCAATTACTCCTGTATGATCCCAGCAAGCGCATCTCAGCCAAAGCAGCCCTCAACCATCAGTACTTCCTCTGCAGAAATGCTGGGAGCCCTGAACAGCGACCCATGCTGTGGAGAGACTGCAGATGAGAGAACACAGCTCTCCCCAAACTCTTGCACCTCCAGGTAGCACTGCAGATCTGGTCTGGGGCACTTAGCAGAGGCCTGGCTGGAGCCCAGGGTCTTTGTTCTCCTGAGGAGCCTGGAAGGGGACGTTCTTGCCATTTAGAGACTTTCAGTCTGTTGTTGGGGGAAAGTTTGGGTTACAGCCAGGAGAGCTGTTTTGAAGAGGTCATATACAAAAGGTGGGGGTAATTTATCAGCATAAACTACTGAAATGTAGAGAAGAGAGCATCTCTCTGAGGTTTATTCTTCCACTAGTGAGCTAAGGTGACACACAGTGACTTCTGTCTCCAGCACTGGAGCATCCCTGGGTCTGTTGGTGGCCATTGCTAGCACCAGGGAAGGGGGGACACTTCACTGCTCAGCGCTTTGCTGCTGTTATCAGCCAGGCTTCTCAGCACTAGACAAGCTGTTTAGGCTGAGCTGTTTAACAGAGCTGACATCCTGCTCTTTCACAAGCTGAAGAGTGTCAGTTTGTGCCTTATCTGGGACCAAGAAGGCAAAAGATCCAGTTAGCATAAAGCAGATCTAGTTAGGATAAAACACTTGCTGCATATGGCTGGAAACAGGCAGCAGCTAAACCACAGGCTTTCCATCATCATTCCAAATGTAATGCTGTTTCCTTTGCTTTATTGACTTGGAAATGTTTTTGCTGTTCAAAGGTTTGGGGGATTGTCTCTGACTCTTGGTGTGGTGTTGACATCTTAATTTCTTTTTCTTCTGTATAAAATAAATACTCGTCATTTGTTCAGAAACCTTGGTGTTATTGTTTTGGCAAAGCTCAGAAGGCTGGTAATGCAGGACAGCCTGGCTGGTCCTTTTTCCCAAAGAGCCTTTCTCCCTTCTTCATCTTCTGCACTCTTATCCTTTCCAGCCCAAATCCTTGGCAGGTACAGAGATGTGCTCTCAGTCCTGTTGTGGACCTGGTACCAAAAGTGTTAATCCAATTTCTGCTGTGTCTGCATGTTTTTAGCAAAGAAACAGGGTATGCAGGAGCTGCTTTCTCATCAAGGACAGAAGGAAGATAAGGGGAAGACATCTGCCTTAGGAATGCAGCTATAGCCAAAACAAAATTCTAGAAAAAACAGAACCTGGGAACATGGGGAAGGTTTTATGGTAATGAACAATTATAATACACACGTGGTGACTGTATATAAGCCACATGCTTGTAGTGAATCGTGTGCACACCAGATGGAGCTTATCCCCTGTGCACCAGGCCTGTGATAACTTCTTAAAGCTACCTTGGTGTTAAGGGGTTTTATTTTACTTGCTTTTTGGTGAATTTTGGTGACAGTTATTGGCCACCCAGATGGGAGCTCACCTCTGAGCCTCGACGGATCTGCAGTCGACAGATCTCCAACTGGCACCAAGGGGTTCTCGGGGAGAACCTCGGCCTCAGACCGTCAGGGGCTCGAGGCGAGATCCCTGGGGTGAGTAAAGGCATCATTTAAATTGTTTATTTGGGGTTATTGATGAGGGGTACGAATCCCCTCACAGAGTTACTGGTGAGGGGTTTGAGTCGCCCAACAGGGTTTGAGTCCCTGGGAAAGCTCACTGTGCAGGGCTTTGAGTCCCCCAGGACTAGGGGATTTGAGTTCCCTCTGAGGAGTTCCCCTGAAGCAGGAAACTCAGTGTTGTAGCTGGTGGAGGAGAAAAAAAAGCAGGTTCATAACACCAGAGCCAAAGCATTGCTGTACTCGCTTTTGTGGTGGAGTGCACTTAGATACTCTGAATTCTTTCTGGTCTCTGGCAGTGTGCATGTGAGTGGGTTGTGTGTTGATTTCATTTTGCCGGCCTGCAAAATTAGCACTAGGACGCCTGTGATATAAAGCTCGTTTGCTGGAAGAGTGTTGAAACTTAACTGACTGTTGGGGTTTCGAAGCAATCGGGGGTGTGTGCTATCGATTACCGATTTGTTTTCTGCGTGCGCGGCTGAAATACAATTGTAGATGCGAAGCGCCCTCTCGTGCCAGTGCGCGCAGGATTCCCGGCACGAGTGGGAGCGGGTGGGAGGGCAGGGACACCCCCAATTGCAGCTCAGCCGTTCCCCCGCCGTCACCTTGGCTCGGGGAGGAGGAGGAGGGAGAAGAAACCCAACAGACTCTCAGCACAGCAGCCCGGGCCCGGCTCGGCGGGTTCTTGCCTGCTCCAGCGCCAGCCGCCTGGGCAGCGCCAGCCGCCCGCTGCAGCACAGAGCCTTGGGGTCCCCGCGCCCAGGTAATCGTTGTGTTCGCTTTCCAGCCGTTGTTATATACTTGTATTATTGAGTATGGGGGCGGTCTGTTCTAAAACTAGAGTGGGAAATGATATCCCGAACTCCCCGTTGAAATGTATATTGAACCACTGGGAAAAGATAGGGGGAGACTCGCTACTTAAATCCAGACTAATCCAATATTGTAACCACTTGTGGCCGCTATATAAACTGGACAATCAGGCGAAGTGGCCGGAGAACGGCACCTTAGATTATCACACCCTGTTAGAGCTGAGGCTGTTTTGTAGAAGAGACGGGAAGTGGAGTGAGATGCCGTACGTAGATCTGTTCTTTACTTTAAGAGACCATCTGGAATTACAAAGGGGGTGCCTACCCAGCCTATCAAACCCTCTCATGTTAGCTTTTGGAAAGGAAAGGGAAAAGGATAGGAGACCAAAGAGATCTTGTTCCTCTTGTAGTATTGGGCACCACTGTTTGAAATGCCACAGCCGATGGGAAGAGGATGATGTAGAAATGCTAGAGGCACCAGGTGCAGGAGACAGGGGGATAGAGAGTTGGGGTGTGCCTGATAAGGGGGAAGCACAAGGAGGGGCTGAGCAGTCAGGGGGGAGGCAAGAGTTAATTTCAAGTCCAGTGGTGGGGAGAACCCAGGGTGAGCAGGAGGTGAGAAAGCAGGAGGTAGGAAAGCAGGAGATGAGAGAGCAGGAGGTAGGGAAGCAGGAGATGAGAGAGCAGGAGGTAGGGAAGCAGGAGGTGACAGAGCAGGAGGTAGGGAAGCAGGAGGTGACAGAGCAGGAGGTAGGGAAGCAGGAGGTGACAGAGCAGGAGGTAGGGGAGCAGGAGGTGACAGAGCAGGACATAGGGGAGCAGGAGGTGAGAGAGCAGGAGGTAGGGGAGCAGGAGGTAGGGGAGCAGGAGGTAAGAAAGCAGAAGGTAGGGGAGCAAGAGGTGAAAAAGCAGGAGGTAGGGGAGCAGGAGGCGAGAAAGCTGGAGGTGGATAAGCAGGAGGCCAGAGCTCAGCTCTGGGCAGGGGTGGGATCTCACAGCCTGATAGTGGTGAAGGTGCCTTTCTCCCCAGTCGATCTCGAGGCATGGATGAGACTGGCAGGGCCCTACAGAGAAGATCCAGAGAGAGTATCTAGAGTATTTGAAACCATTCTCAAGACACAGAACCCGGACTGGGGGCTTATACAAGTTCTGTTATATACTCTATTGGACTCCACAGAAAGAAAGATGGTGCTCAGGACTGCTAGGAAAGAGGTGGACAGGATAGGTACAGCAGGTGAATTACCAGGAACTCTGGAAGAGCATTTTCCCTCCCAGGACCCCTGTTGGGACCCTAACACAAAGGAGGGGAGGCTTTTTCTGGAACAATATCAACAGTGGATATTATTTGGCTTTAGACATGCAATGCCGAAGGCAATCAATTGGTCTAAACTTTATGAGGTGAAACAAGAACCGCATGAGACTCCAACTGCATTTGTGGAACGCCTAAGGGCAACTGCCAGGAGATACACTAATATTGATCCAGAAAAACCAGAGGAAGCTGTACAGCTGGCTTCCATTTTCATAGGGAACTCAGCCCCGGATATTAGAAAGAAGTTACAAAAGCTGGAGGGAGCAGAGTCTCGTGACCTAGGAGAACTCTTACAAGTGGCCTGGATAGCTTTTAATAATAGGGGAGAAGAGGAAGAAAACAAGATCCGGGAGAGAGAAAAGGAGAAGGAGCAGAAAGAAAAGAGACGGGAAATGGAATGGGAGGACAGAAAAAAGAAATGGGAAATGGAAAGGGAGGAGAGAGAAAAGAAACGGGAGGTGGAAAGAAACAGAAGAGAAAGATGTAGGGATGCAATGCTGAGCGCAGCCCTGCAGAGAGCGCTTTTTAACCGCAGGAGCGAGAGGGGCTCTGCCCGCGGGGGGCTGCAGCCGAACCAGTGCGCCTATTGCCGAGGACTTGGGCACTGGAAACGGGAATGCCCCAAAAACCGGAAAGGGCCCAAGGTAACCGAGCTAACCCTCCATCAGGAATGACGGGAACCGGGAGTGAAAACCCCAGCTAAACCCCCTGGGCTGGGGGAAAAGAGAAAATTGACTTTTTAATATACACTGGGGCTATTTACTCGGTATTAAATACAAATCATGGAAAGTTAAACCAAAAAACTGTAAACGTTGTTGGTGCAACAGAGAAAGAAGAAAAACAAACGTTATTGAACCCCATTAACTTTAAATTTGGCAAACCGTGGATAACACACCAATGTTTATATATGCCTGAATGTCCAGTTCCCCTGCTAGGAAGAGACCTGCTATATTGCAGGCATGGATTTTGTTTAAAGACAGAGAAATGCAATTATTGGTATTTGAGATTAAAGCCATCGAGGCAAGGACTTTTATGTTGCAGGGAATACTGGAACCAGACAATTCTGGAGGAATAGAAACAACAAAAAATGCAGTAAAACACCCTTGATTTGGATCAGTGGAACTCCAGACCATTCCCAACAAGCTCAGCCTGTACGAGTTACCCTAAAACCTGGACCAAAACCAGTAAAGCAGAAAAAATATCCTTTAAAATGAGTAGCTAGGAGGGGAGTCATGAGTCTAATTGAAAATTTCAGGGAATTTGGATTACTGATAGAATGTAAGCCAGAACACTCCCATTTTGCCAGTTAAAAAGCGTGAGGTTAAAAAGTACAGGTTGGTACTACGAGCAATCAATCAAATATTTCAGGATATCCACCCTGTTGTAGCCAATCCCTTT